AATGGGTAAAATTAATTGAAAAAGGGGGAAAAAAATTTTTTTTTTTGGGGCCGGCTTGGAAAAATAGGGGTGCCTTTTTACAAAAAAATTAAAACAGAATAAAGGAAAGGGGTTGGGGGGTGGGGTTAAGCTTTAAAGTTGTTTGGGGGAAGAATTTTTTGAAAGGGGGGAGAAAGTTTGGTTACGCCTGAGGGGAGGAAAAATAATTTTTTGGGGTAAATTCAGGGAAATTTTTAAAAAAGGGGGGCTAAATTTTTGGGGAAACGTGGTTAAAAAAAGTGGTAAGGGAGATTTAAAAAAATTTTGGGGCTTTGGGAAAAAAAAGATCACCCTTTTTTTGTCCAGGTTTTTTTTTAAAAATTTGTGGGAAGGAAATTGGGGAAATAATTCCGGGTTGGTTTTTTAGGGGGAAAAAAAAATTTTTAATCGAGGTTAAGATGAGGTAAAAAAGAAAATATCAGTTTTAAAAAGGAATTTTTAAAGGTTTTAGTTGGACTTCGCGGGGGTTTTTAATGAAAAAATTAGGTGGGTAAATGGAAGAGAAGGGGGTTTAGGGGTTGTGGAAAAATTTTTCCGGGGGATAGGTTTTTTTTTAAATTTTTCCAATTTTGGGTTTGACCAAAAAAAAAAAGGTTTCCTAAAGGGGATGAAACAATAAAATTAAAAATATCGGGATTGGTCAAAAGAGGGGCATATATAGGCAAATCAAAAAGAGGAGAGGGGCAATTAAAAAATCGTATATTCATTTTAAAAGAGAAAAATTTAAAAAGGGGAAATTTTGAAAAGAAAAATAGAGATTATGAGGTTAAAGTTGCAAGAGAATCAAAAGACAAACCCCCAAAAAGGGAATTCTTTCAGGTATACAGAAGTAAGATCAGGAAGTTTGGCCCACTCAAAAATTCCTCGGGTCAGCTCACTGACATGATAAGGAAATGTGTAGAATTTTTTAAAAAAAATACTTCCTCTCATTTTTTAAAACAGGGGGAAAACCCAGCGAATTTTCCCTTTAAAGAAAAATTTGGTAGAAACAGGAACGATAATAAAATTTTGCACTATTTTGGGTTTCCCCGTGACTTTGGCCTTTGGCAAATAGATAAATTAAAACCTAACAAATCCCCCGGGGCCCCGATTAACTTTATGCAAGGGTTCCAAAAAGGAAAAGGGAAAGGGAAACTTTGCACACCTTTGGCTTTAAACTTTTCAACATATCACTACAAAAATGGCATGGTGCCAATAAGGGGAAAAAGGGGAAAATTTTGGGGTACCCATTTTTTTTAAAAAAAGGTGACAGGTCCCCTTTGCTTGAACTATAGACCAAAAAGCTTTAACCCCCATAGTGGGGAAAATTTTTGGAATCAATAAATTTCCAGGGGAGTTGAAACACCCCCAAAAGCATAAATTAATCAAAGAATCTCAAGGGAAAGGTTTTACAAAGGGGCGTTCCTGCCTTTCGAATTTTTTTAACTTTTTTTATAAGGGAATTTTAAAGGAAAGGTTTGATCATGGGAATGGGAAAATGATATTTTGTATTTTGGACTTCAGAAAAGGTTTTGCAGGGTCCCACATCAGAGACTATTGAGGAAAATTAAAGCACATGGAATAGGAGGAGAAATTTTTTTTCCCGGGGTGAGGCATTTGGGACAAATAGGCAGCAGAGAGTTTTTCTTTAAAAGGGGAAAAAATTTAGAGTGGGGAAGGGGTCACGGCTTGTTTTCCCCAGGGGGGCCCTGTTGGGGCCCCCTGCGTTCACAACTACTAAACGAAAAAGATGAGGGGCCCTAAAGGGGCGACATCGGAAGGGGCCGGGTGACACCAAAAAAAAGGCCGGGCGAAAAATTTAATTTTGACGAGGCATTCGGGGCACTCCCGGAAGATTTGAATAGACTGATGCAGTGGTCGGAGAAGTGGGAGAAAGCATTTAAAAATAGGGCAATGGGAAAAATTCTAAATTTTTGGACAGGGAAAAATAAACCCCTCCCCACATTTTAAACAAAATAATGTAGACCCTTAATATTCCGGTTTGGCGAAAAGTTTTGGATTTCGGGGTTAGCATTTAATCTGAAACCAAGACAACAGTGCATAAGTGTTGGGTTTAAAGCTAATAAACCCTTTGGGTTTCAAAACAAAAAGGGTTTAAATAATAGGAATCCCTCAGGTTGTTCTTCAACTCAATACACCCTTTGGGTTAGGCCTCTTTTAGATTATCCCTGCACAGTTTTGGTCACCGTATTACAGGGGGATATAAATTATCGGAAAAATTTTAAACAAAGGAGGAGACAAAGATAAACCCTTTATCAGAAACCTTCCTAGGGAAGGATAGACAAAAGGGCCCTGAAACTGCACCTTAGAAAAAATGAATTGGGGGGAATAAATTGAGGTTTTTTTAAGTGGAAGACGGGAATAAATAAAGGGGATGAAAATAGTGTCCCTAAAAATTTTCCCTTAGCCTAGACGGGGGACTCCAGAAAGGGTTTTTAAAAGTTGGAAAAATTCAGATTCAGGAGGGATATGGGAAAAAGGAACGGGTTTGGGAAATAGAGTTTTTGGTTAGTGGAAAAAACTCCCAAGTCCCGTTATAGAGGCCAGAATTTTTGTGTGCTTTAAAAAAAAAGGGGTTGGATAAATACATGATAAAATGGGGGTTTGGGTGTGGGGTTGGACCGGATCCCTTGTGCAAACGGGTGGGTTTGGGGCCGTGTTCCCCCTTAAGTCAATGTACCTAAACCGGGACTAGGGGGGTTTGCATTGGCTTTAAGGGGGGGTGGGGATTTGGGCCCTTTGCCTCCATGGGCCAGTGGGCCTTCTGCAGTTTTTCCTTCTTTTCTTATGTTCTTATGAAAAGGGGAAATTTTTTTCCCCAGAAAAGTGGGCCTTAGCCCAAGGATGTGTGATGCCCACCGTGGTTTTGTTTAATAAAATTTTAAAAGGGGGGTTGTAAAAGAAGTAAATGCGAGGGTCTTGGCAAGAGGCGTGGATTTAAAAGATTAAAAATCCACCAAAGTGGGATTGTCACAGCTGCTCTTTGCTGATGACACTGTGCTTTGGGAATTTGAAGAGAAATTTTTCAGGATTGGTTAAAGAAAATTTTGGTTTGGGTGTCAAAAAAAGAAAATTTTAAAAGGGGAATACAGGAAAAAAGTAAGGTTTTTGAGGGTAACAAAAAAATTTTGGGATGAAAGATTGAAAAATCAATTGGGGGGAGAGAGTATGGAGGGAGGTGAAGTTTTTCAGTATTTGGGAGTGGAACCGGGGGTTTTAGCCGGAAAAAAGGGTCCTTTTAAAGGGTGAGGTGGAAAACATAGAATTGAAAGGGAAAAAAAAGTTTTGGGGGTTTTCACTTAGGAGTCTTGGGGGGGGGGGCAAAAACTTTGTCCTGGGGCAAAGGGGGGGAAATGTATTACCCTATAGGGGGTTTTAAAAACCCCAAAGCTTTTTATTTTTTTGGGTGTGAAAGGCAATCGGTGAAGAATGTTCCAAGGAGGAAAAAGGTCTTTTGGAGGGCATGGAGATTTCATGTCCCCGGGGGGCAATGTGTTTTGGGGTTGTGGATTAATTTTTAAAAAGAAATTTTAGTTTGGAAAGGTTTTTGGGGGGAGGTCGGGATTTCCCAAAAATGTTTTCCAAGGGTGAGGGAAGGGTTGTTGAGGTGGGGTTTACATTTTAGAGAGAATGGAGCGAAACAAATGACTTTCAAGATGTATTTATTTTGTAGGGGAAAAAGGGAAAGGGGGGGGTAAGGGGGGTCGGCCAGGGAAAAGGGTTTGGGGGGAGGGGGGTTTAAGGGGGGTTTTGTGTGCGGGGGGGCTTGGGTTCAGCAGGCATGCATAGGTGTTTTTTAGGAGTGAATGGAGACAAAAGGTTTTTTTTTTTCTTTTACGTGCTGTTGGAGTGTTTAGCAAAGTAACCCTTTTTTGAAGGGGTTCGGGAAAAACCGGGAGGCCCGGAAATTTTAGTCCGGGGATGGGAAAAAACAGTGCCTGCAAATCTGAAGGAGGGGGGTTAATGTTCAGTTTAAAAAAAATGTTTGTGTAAAAACACCCTTTTTGGAAAAACAGTGAGGAGTGAAGATGGTTTAAAAATTTTTCTTTTTCGGGGGCCCCCCTGCCTTGGTGGGAATCGGCCGTGTGATAATAAAAAAAAAAAAAAAAAAAAACTATTAGAATTTTTGCATTTAGTTGCAAAAGGGGAAAAATTTTCTATATTTTGTGTTAAAAAAAATTTCCCAAAATAAAAAGGAAACGTAAAAAATAGGGGTCTGGAGAGGGGACTAAGGAGAAAAGGGAAATTTTAAATTTAGTGCCGGGAAATGTCTATATTTTTTTTTGGATCCCTTTTTTCAAATTGGCAATTGTTAAAATTTTGTTAAAATTCCCCAAATTACTATTTCTGATAACTTTTTTGGGGTTGTTGAAATAGGTAAATGGGCGGGTTTAATTGTGCCTTTTCCACGGATAAAAGGGAAAATTTTACCAGCGGAACAGCTACGAGTTTGGGTCGAGGGGAAAACCAGGGAATTGGCCAAAAAAATGAATAAAAAAGTGGGCAAAAATTTCCAATGTGTAATTAACGCGGGGAAATGCTAAATTTTTTCGAGAAAAACAAATTTTCCAAAAAGGTTTTTCCCCAAATTTCGTACTCTTGGTTTCTTTGCCTTCGGGGAAAAAATTGTTTTATCATTTTAAAAATAATTTTTTTTTTCATTCCCTGAACCCCGGGGGCAAGTGCGGCAGGGCTCAAGACACCCGAAAGGGTTTAAAATACCTAAAGGCAAGTAAGTGACTGATGGCTACCCTCTTTTTCATGAAAAAAAAAAAAAAACAGTCCACCATTTTTAATTTTAAACTTAAAAAATTTTTAAATTAGCAAGATATTAAAATGGAAATGGGTTTTTTAAACTAAACCACCTTTGGGTTTAATTTTCCCGAAATTTGGAAGGGGGCCCTGGGGAGGCAATCTCGATAGTATGGCCTTCAGGGAAATGGACCAATAAAACAACTAAATGCCATATACTAAACAGGAAGTATTTATTTTGCTTTCAAACAGTAAATAAATTCCAGTTGATTCTAGTCTAGTTAACAATCAACCATACCCAATATAAATAGTATTGGAACTAAAAATTGCAGCTCAATTAATTAATTGCTAACATTATTTAAAATGTACAACTTTAAGCAGACATCATGCACACATTTACTTGAATTTTACACTCTTGATTGTATGAGACTTGATACCAGAGACCTCCCCGTCATAACGCTTCAACTCTTTCCGGACCTCACGCACCTGTGGAGAAATTGCTCGTCATTACTGTATTCCAATGGCTTCCCCCTTTCTTAAAAATAAATAAAAGAAAAAAGTCATTTAGAACTTATATACATTTTTAAAATTTTTTTTTTTTTATTATTATCACACTGGCCGATTCCCACCAAGGCAGGGTGGCCCGAAAGAGAAAAACTCTCACCATCATCCACCCCATCACTGTCTTGCCAGAAGGGTGCTTTACACTACAGTTTTTAAACTGCAACATTAACACCCCTCCTTCAGAGTGCAGGCACTGTACTTCCCATCTCCAGGACTCAAGTCCGGCCTGCCGGTTTCCCTGAACCCCTTCATAAATGTTACTTTGCTCACACTCCAACAGCACGTCAAGTATTAAAAACCATTTGTCTCCATTCACTCCTATCAAACACGCTCACGCATGCCTGCTGGAAGTCCAAGCCCCTCGCACACAAAACCTCTTTACCCCCTCCCTCCAACCTTTCCTAGGTCGACCCCTACCCCCCTTCCTTCCACTACAGACTGATACACTCTTGAAGTTATTCTGTTTCGCTCCATTCTCTCCACATGTCCGAACCACCTCAACAACCCTTCCTCAGCCCTCTGGACAACAGTTTTGGTAATCCAGCACCTCCTCCTAACTTCCAAACTACGAATTCTCTGCATTATATTCACACCACACATTGCTCTCAGACATGACATCTCCACTGCCTCCAGCCTTCTCCTCGCTGCAACCTTCATCACCCATGCTTCACACCCATATAAGAGCGTTGGTAAAACTATACTCTCATACATTCCCCTCTTTGCCTCCAAGGACAAAGTTCTTTGTCTCCACAGACTCCTAAGTGCACCACTCACCCTTTTCCCCTCATCAATTCTATGATTCACCTCATCTTTCATAGACCCATCCGCTGACATGTCCACTCCCAAATATCTGAATACATTCACCTCCTCCATACTCTCTCCCTCCAATCTGATATCCAATCTTTCATCACCTAATCTTTTTGTTATCCTCATAACCTTACTCTTTCCTGTATTCACTTTCAATTTTCTTCTTTTGCACATCCTACCAAATTCATCCACCAATCTCTGCAACTTCTCTTCAGAATCTCCCAAGAGCAACTGTGACAACTTCCACTTTATGTGTGATTCTTTATCTTTTAACCCCACGCCTCTTGCCAAGACCCTCGCATTTACTTCTCTTACAACCCCATCTATAAATATATTAAACAACCACGGTAACATCACACATCCTTGTCTAAGGCCTACTTTTACTGGGAAATAATTTCCCTCTTTCCTACATACTCTAACTTGAGCCTCACTATCCTCGTAAAAACTCTTCACTGCTTTCAGTAACCTACCTCCTACACCATACACCTGCAACATCTGCCACATTGCCCCCCTATCCACCCTGTCATACGCCTTTTCCAAATCCATAAATGCCACAAAGACCTCTTTAGCCTTATCTAAATACTGTTCACTTACACGTTTCACTGTAAACACCTGGTCCACACACCCCCTACCTTTCCTAAAGCCTCCTTGTTCATCTGCTATCCTATTCTCCGTCTTACTCTTAATTCTTTCAATAATAACTCTACCATACACTTTGCCAGGTTTACTCAAAAGACTTATCCCCCTATAATTTTTGCACTCTCTTTTGTCCCCTTTGCCTTTATACAAAGGAACTATGCATGCTCTCTGCTAATCCCTAGGTACCTTACCCTCTTCCATACATTTATTAAATAATTGCACCAACCACTCCAAAACTATATCCCCACCTGCTTTTAACATTTCTATCTTTATCCCATCAATCCCGGCTGCCTTATCCCCTTTCATTTTACCTACTGCCTCACGAACTTCCCCCACACTCACAACTGGCTCTTCCTCACTCCTACAAGATGTTGTTCCTCCTTGCCCTATACACGAAATCACAGCTTCCCTATCTTCATCAACATTTAACAATTCCTCAAAATATTCCCTCCATCTTCCCAATACCTCTAACTCTCCATTTAATAACTCTCCTCTCCTATTTTTAACTGACAAATCCATTTGTTCTCTAGGCTTTCTTAACTTGTTAATTTCACTCCAAAACTTTTTCTTATTTTCAACAAAATTTGTTGATAACATCTCACCCACTCTCTCATTTGCTCTCTTTTTACATTGCTTCACCACTCTCTTAACCTCTCTCTTTTTCTCCATATACTCTTCCCTCCTTGCATCACTTCTACTTTGTAAAAACTTCTCATATGCTAACTTTTTCTCCCTTACTACTCTCTTTACATCATCATTCCACCAATCGCTCCTCTTCCCTCCCGCACCCACTTTCCTGTAACCACAAACTTCTGCTGAACACTCTAACACTACATTTTTAAACCTACCCCATACCTCTTTGACCCCATTGCCTATGCTCTCATTAGCCCATCTATCCTCCAATAGCTGTTTATATCTTACCCTAACTGCCTCCTCTTTTAGTTTATAAACCTTCACCTCTCTCTTCCCTTTTTAAATTTATTATATATTTTTTTATCTAGGGCTTTTCATTACAAGTACTTCATTCAAAAGCAGGATAACCTCTAGTAAAGAAGCAAAAGTGCGTATCTTCAAAATAATGAATCACTGCAACCTGAGTTACTGTAGACCGTCATTTAACACGAGTTTATTTGGCATGACTTGGGTATAGCAAGATTGAAGAATTGCAGCACAATTTTATGTAACACTCCGTAAAATTAATTTAACACTGTTCATGAGAGGAGAAAAAATTTTGAGCGTGCAGTCGCCCGCGAGATTGGTAATGGGTCATGCCACTGAGTCAATGGGGGAGACCTATCACCATCCCCTGCCACCCCCCAACACACCATCCCAGCATTCATCCTTCATATGCATCCAGTTTCTCTTCTCTGCTTCAAGCTAGCTGTGTTTGTGAATTGTGTTTTGATCTTTTAATTACCATATCTTATATCTGCCAAGCAATCATGACACCCAGTAAGCATACCAGTGTCGCTGAAAGTGGCAAGAAAAGGTATAAGCATTTAAGTCTTAGAATTAAAGAAGAAAACAGAGATATTAGACAAGAGATAACCTGTGGCGGCAATGAAGCTCGCTTTGTGGACATAAAATCAAGTAAACGTGAGTTTGTGTGACTGACTTACCGAATGGCTTACTGACTTGACTGAATGACTTACTGACTTTGACTGACTTGACTGATTGAATGACTTGACTGACTAAATGACTTGACTGAATGACTTAAAGTTAGACTTTTTCACTGAAGAGGACGTTGAAAGGGTGTCTAGAGAAGCTGATGCTTTACCATAAATTGTACTGAAGGGTAAAATAGAACAGAAATCCATTATAGAATTTATGCACACTCCAGTACAACCATCGACTTCAGTACCAGAACCTCTACTATCCACCTCAGCCCAGTAGGACCACAGCATAGCTCTCCAATCTCCACAATCACCCACAAACACCAGCACTCACAATTTAAGGTAAGAAATACTATTATTGCTGTTGCATTTGTAATCTCATACAGAAAAAACAACATAATACATCATGACAATGAACTACAATTACATATTCACTTTTATTTTTGTAAGATGTGGAGGCCTAAAAAAAACTTGTCTGGCTTTTTTGGGCTCCTAGGAACGTAACCCTATTCTCCCCATAAGTTCTTCAATTCATCTAACACGGTTTTTACCTCACACGGCATTTTCAGGAAAGTAACTACCGTGTTAAATGACGGTCTACTGTATATACTGCCCTGTGTATCTTAAAATATAGAACATTTATCCTTACCTGTCCCTTCCTCTTCTTGAGTTTGGTTTTATACTTATTCCTGTACTTGACTCGGGGATTTCTCTGTTCCTTTTTGCGTGATGGAATTAAACCTTTATTTTTTGATATCTGGTAGCCAATAGCACGTTTTTCATCAGGATCAAGTGCCTGGTTTACTTCTACTTTAGCAGACTCTGAAAAAAGTGAGGAAAATTTACCACAACATATTTAACCCTTTCGGGGTCTGTGCCGTAGTACTACAGCTTTGAAGTGAGGGTCCGTGCTGTAGTTCTATGCCTAAATTCTAACTGCTTCAAATTTACCCGAAGAAGGTTGGTAGGCATACATATGAGAGAATGGGTCTGTGTGGTCAGTGTGTGCAGTAAACAAAAAAATTGGGGCAACCACACTGCATTGTGGAAATGTCATTTTTGGTACCTTTTTTGTTCACCATGTCTCATGGTAGCAAAAACCTTACTCCTCGGTGAGCTGGGAATCTTCTCTTCTCAAATGATAGATCTAACGTGGATGCAGGTAGAAGTGAAGATGAATTCTATGATTCTGAGGATTTAGTGACTGAAAGCAATGCTTAGGATGCCAGAAACAGTGTTGAAAAACCCTGATGACCCTCAACCATCTACCTGTTAGGCTGGTCTGTCTGCTTCACATTCAGTTTTACCATGACATAAGTGTAACCTTATGTTTTCCCACTGCCAGGGCTCAGATGTGAGCAATGTTGATGATAGTGATGTTGACTGTGAATCCCTAGCTCTTGATGACCATTTGAGTAGCAACAGTGAAGAGGAATACTCATCAGTGAAGCATCGAGTTATATACTGCATGCAGTCTGGTAGTGTGCCATATGCTATTCCAAGGGAACGGAGTACATCCTGTGGCCCTACACCAGCAACAGATAGTGAAAGTGACAATGAAGGTGCTACAATTGCAATGGATAATA